CGGGACTTTCAGAATTTGGTAGATTCCCACCCCATTCCCTTTCCCTCACACCCCCTCAAAGACCCCCCGGCAGGCATCTCAACAGACACTTGCCCTGAGGACTCTCCCACCCCCGCAGAGGTTCCCCTGCCCCACTAAACACGCCTAAGACACCACTCTGGTTTCAGTGGGCCTGTCTGCTTGCGGGGGTGTCCACAGTTTGCCATGATTTGGGGAGGGGGACAGTTGGTTCCACAGGGTTCGGAGAGGGGAGGCAGGGCCCAGAGCCATCTCGAAACGTCCTGTGAAGGCTGGCTCTCAGGAGCCCTCGGTCCTCAGCCTTGCAGTCTGCACTGCCACAGCCCAGGTTCTGGGGCCCCCGAACTGGGGAGCAAATTTGAGTAACATGGGACACATCTTATGAGCCCTAAGAGGGCTTCACGAGGTAAAGGTAGAGCTCATGTGCCTGGGGCTTCCTGCAGAGATCTGGTGACTCCAGATGGAGACAGACGGACTGGGAGAGAGGGCAAAATAGAGAGGTCAAGACCCCATCCCCACCTGCTGTGCCCTGGGGGCAGCCAAAGCCTGGCAGCAAACTTGAACCTGGGGTTGAGCCCTGACTCAGTGTTCCATCTATCAGGTCCCCGTACCAGGTTCTGGGGTCTGCAAACACTAGGGTGGCTGGGGTAAAGGCCACGGTCCACTGGGGGTTGGGGAGAGAGCCCTAAGGGGGTGGCAGCTGCTCCCGTTAACAGTAGCAGCAACGCAAACACCACGCTTGGCCGCGCCTCCCCTGCAGCCCACCCTGAGCTAGCAGTTCAGGGGCACAGCCTCACTGAGCACTGCCCATGCCCAATAAGGCAGGTGCTCTGACTCCCAGTTCCTGGCCTAAGAAACTGAGGCCTCAGAGGTTGAGGGACCTGCCTGAGGTTGCCCAGACGAAATGTGCTCCCACTGGGGCTGATCCCAAGCCCAGGCAGTGCCTGGATACAGAGCCGCCCGTGCCAGCCTTTAGCACCCTCTCCCAGACACACACACACACACACAGGGACCCCTGCAGTGAGGAGGGGTAGATGAGGAAAGACAGAGGATAGGGGAGCCCGAGGTTGCTCCAACAAGGCCCCCTGAGAGCTCAGCAGCCCAATTAGCACGGCGTTCCCAGCCAGGCCTGCTCGGGGGACTAGCCATGGCAGATGAAAGCTGAAAGGTTATTTCAATACGGGGCCGCCCACTTCCCAGCCAGGGTGAGCCTGGTGTGCTGGAGGGACCTGGAGTGGGTACATAATTCAGCGTGTCAGGAGGAGAGCGGGAGCTAAAGGCAAAGCCAGGGTGAGCAGGGAGATAAGACGGGGCTATCACAGGCCGGGTGCGTGGCTGGAAGGAGGGCCCTGCCCCTGCTCGGGAAGGAGTTCAGGGATGCACGGCATGAAAGGGTCCCGCTGCCAGCCCGCTCCAGGGTCTCCAGAGACAAACGTGTGCTTATGTATACACACGTGTACTCAGATATGTGCATGCACGTGTGCACATGGCCATGTTCACACACATAGATAAACACATACAGGTGTGCACAGATGCACGAACGCATGCACACACACATACACATGCACACACAAGCTCCGTCTAAGCCCAGGCCTGCCTCCCGGGCTGCAGGCACAGGGCCTGAGAGGTGGGCGTCCGGAGAACACTCGTGCTTCCTGCCTGCCTGTTTGTCCCCTCCCCATTCTGTGCCCCTGAGAGTTCTTTTGGCTGGGTGGTGGGGGGCACAGTCCTGTCTCTCAGGGGGTTGACTAACATGTCCTGGTTTGTTTGGGACTTTCCAGTTTTAGCACTACAAGTCCTGCATCCTGGGAAACCCCTGAGTCCCAGGCAGACCTGCGTGGTCAACCTTCCCCCGGCCTCCCAGAACACCCCTCGCTGCCGTCACCCCTGCGAAGGACAAGGAGCTCTGGGGAGAAAGCCAAGGCCAAGTCTCTGCTCTCACCCTGGAGGCCTCAGTGCTAATAAGAGCCACTGTGTTTATTGAGCACCTACTGTGTGCCAGGCACCGTTCTAGACCCTGGGTGTACAGTGGGGAACACACCAGACAAAATCACTGTCCTTGTGGAGTTGATGCTCAGTGGGGCAGGGGAGGGCAGAAAATCAACAAGATAAATAAAGACATGCTATAATTTATTAGAAGAGGCCGGATGTTCTGGGGGAAAGCAGAACAGGGAAGGGGCTCATTTAAAATAGGCCGCTGGGGAAGGCTCACTGAGAAGGTGACGGGGAGAGACCAGAAAATGAGGTGAGGGCAGGAGCCCTGGGATATCCTGGGAAGTGCACCAGGCTGGAGGCAGGCCCTGCCCAGCGTGTGAGAGAGCTGCAAGAATGAGGCTGGGGGATAGGGAGCGGGAGAAGGGGGAGAGGAAGCGCCCGGGCAGACCTCTGGACGTGCTGAAGGCCTGGAGGGTTCTTATCAGTGTGATGGGAGCCCCGAGGGTGCGAGCACAGGAGCCACATGCTCTGACTCTCTTTCGCTGCTGTGTTAGCAGAGATGTAGGGGTCAGGGTGGGAGCACAGGGACCACTCAGGAAGCTGTTGCAACAGTCCAGTCTGGGCTAGAGATGATGGCGGCCCAGACTGGGGTGGTGGCCGTGAGAAGTGGGTGGATTCTGGATAAGTTCTGAAGTTGAGCCAGCAGGATTTCTGACAGATTGGGTGTGAGGTGAGAGAGAGAGGAGTCGATAGGACTCTGAGGTTCTTGGCCTGAGTAGTCGGAATGAAGGAGCCATCGTCACCTGAGATGGCGAAGATGCACCTGCAGGGGAGCGGCAGTTCAGCTTCAGATGGATTGCATTTGACAGATGGAGGGATGGAGGAGGCAGGTGCATACAGGCACCTGCAGACATAGAGGGCCAGGGGGAGCTTTAAATGATCTTACCCATTTCACAGGTGAGGAAAATGAGGCTCACACAAGCAAGGGGACACACTTGTTAAGTCGGGGAGCTGGGACCCAGGTCTCCCAAACCTGTGCTCATCCTACCGCCCTGTGCTGTAGGACAGGGAGCAACTGGCCGTCCTAGCGAACGTCCCATGTCCAGCAGTGGGGGCCGAGGAGGGAAGCCCAGCTCTGCCCTGGCTGGCTTCCTTGTCTCCAGGGCTGGGCTAGGCTGGAGTGGGGAGAGGAGGCCCACCGGGAAGTGGCCTGTGCTTGGTTGCAGCTCAGAGGGACTGTGCCAAGTGTCCTGAGGCGCCAGTAGCTCTGTGAGCACAGCCAGCCTGGCCTGAGGCTGTTATCCGACCAGCAGAGCCATTCGGTTAGCATTGATTGGCTTAGAGAGGAGCATCTGGCAAGGCTGGGGCAGGGGGCGGGGGAGAGCTCAGCCCTGTGCCGGGGGAGGGCAGCTGCAGAGCCAGAAGTATTGACCACAGGGCTGACCAATCTCTGAGCCTCAGAGAGCCCCATGGACCTGCCCGGAGACCCGTGGGGATGCCATTGCTGTCCCTGCACAGGTGTAGGGGGAGGCAGCCCCTTCAGTACGGACAGGTGCCAGACTCAGGTCAGGGGGAGGCCGGAGACCTTGGGGCCAGGGAGGCCTGACCAGCCTCAGATGAGGTTGCCCTGCCCATGCAGTGTGGAGCTCCTCCTAGAAGTCAGTTGGGCGAAGCCTGCCCCATTGCCCTGCTCACCAACTGTGTGGCCTTGGCCAGCTGCTTCCCTCTGCGTGCCTCATTTCCTCCTCTGTGAAATGGTGCAGCACCCACGGGGGCCTTGTGAGGATTGCGTGTAAAGAACCTGGTATATGCCTAGGGCTGGGTCCTCCTTCATTAGCTCTCTTCCTGCTGCCAGGGGCAAGGAAGCTGCAGGGCTCCTGTCACACTGACCATCTGGCCTGGGACTGGAGCAGGGGCCCTGTCAGTGCTGGTCCCAGTGGGGAGCTCTCTGGCCTCCCCCTGCCAAGCTGAGCTGGTGTTACTGCCTCTTTGGGAGCTCTGGTTACTTAGAGGCTGAGAGAGGGGCTGGGGTAAGATGGGGGCCTACCACCTGCTTCCCTGCCTCAGTGCCTTTACACATGCTGTGCCCTCTGCCTGGAATGCCCTTCTACCCATCCCACCAGGTCCAGCCCCCATGGGACTATCATAAGCACATCTTATGAGTGGGCTGCTGATTGGACTGAGAGAGGTGCCTGCCCATGCTCAGGCCACTCACCTCTGCTCCCACAGGTTCCTGCCCAGAAGGTGAGTGGTTTGGGGTTTGCAGGAAGGAGGACATGAAAAAATATGAGCTCTCCTTTCCTGCACATCCTCTCTGCTGACAGGGGAGCAGAGGGGTTTGTGGAGAAGGTGGCACAGGGGCAGCAGGGGCCTTCCCTGAGCTTCCCACACACACATACCCCTCGGTGCCTACTCTGGGCCCTGGCACATGGACGGCCTGGTCTTGTGAGACCCCCTATCTGCTAGTGAACCCATGAGGACCTGCCCACTTCCTCCCTGGGTCCCTCCCTGCCCTGGCACCTTGGACACACCAGGACCCTAGTGACAAGTGTTGAATGGAGGAAGGAGCAAATGAGGCTACGGAGGTGCCAGTGATGTGAGGGAGGCCGGGCGGTTTGGGAGTAACTGAGCAGTCAGTCAGGTGGATGACCCTGGAGGGAGAGGAGGAGATCCTGTGGAAGAGGGCGAGAGCCCCCTCAGGCAGAGCAGTCCCTGCCCCACCCAGGACGGGGCTGAAGAGGCTGACAGGAAGGAGTGCAAGGCTCCTCTGAGGAGACTTGGATCCCTGCTAATTTGCAGTTTTAAAATGCACGGCGAAGGCCGTGCATTGTTAGTACCAGCCTCATTGTTAGTACATTAATCAGCAGTCAGCGGGTCGGGGATCCCATGGGCCACACGGAGGGGGCACAGGAGGAGCCTCAGCAACGCAGTGCCAGCCTCCGTGGGAAGAAACCCAGCAGGGTGATGATCCAGGGCCAGGGGGTGCCAGGGACGGGTGGGGTTGGTTGAGACAGCTGGTCCAAGACCTTAGAGGTGGGACCAGTTTCCAGGGTGGAGAAGCAGACTGAGCGGAGACCCACTGCAGTGCCAATGGGAGGGGCAGGGCTAGCTGCAAGGGCAGCTTCCCGGGCCTGGGTCCCCTGCCTCCAGGCAGTGCTGAAGCTCCAAGCGCTGGCTGGGGTCCCAGCATCCTTTGTGCTCCTCTCAGAGGAAGGATGCTGTGGCTCCTGCCCTCTGTCAGACCTGTTATCTGACTCCTCCCACCTGCCACAGTGTGTTCACTTGCCGGCTGCTAAGCCCATGCCTAGATTTTTGGGCAGTTGACTTTTTCACACAAACCGGGGTCTTTGCCCATTTTCCCCTGTGGCCCAGCGTTCCCTGGGGGCCCCATCTGAGGGAGGGGTGCGGCTCTCCATAGGGCCCCCTGCTTCTCTGGGGACCATTTCAGAGAACCCCACCTCCAGGCCTCGTAGAGACAGAGCCACATAACCGGCAGAAGGGCTGTCTGCCCCCAACCTGGGTCAGGGCGCAGGAGAAACCACCCCCCTACCACCATACAGGGTAGTTCCGAGGGTCAGGGGGGGCGCGAGCGGAGCTCTTTGTAAACTCCATAAGCCGCACAAATGTCAAGCGGTATCAGTGCTGCGCCTACCACGCTCCCCGCCGCCCCCACACTGAGCGTCTCTCCGCTGGGACTTAAGGGAAGGAATGCCTTTGTCTCTGCTGGCCCCCCGGGGGTCTGGTGTGGCATGTGTCCCACAAGCACAGGGTCACGGCTGTGGCTCTGTTCCCTTCAGCGCAGTGAGCACCGTGATGCCCTTGAGCTAAGAGGGGAGCCCTGGGCTCCCTCAGAGCGGCAGGGGGCTGCCCCCCGAGGCAGGGTTCCTAGAAGACAGCAGCCCCGGCAGGGGTGAGGAGCCCTGGCTGAGAGTGAAAAGGGATGGCGGGCTCTGTGGAAGGCGCGGCCAGTGTGGGTTAGGCCCCCTCCCAGCCCTGGGTGTTGGGGGCTCAAGGCAGCAGGAATGCTTCCTGAGAGTCAGGCTCCCATCCCCTCACACTCCTGCCTCCCCCTGCGGGGCTGGGGCCCTGGCCAGACTGAGGTGAGCAGTAGGGGGCTGGAGGTTAGAGCCAAGCCTCCACGTAGGGGCGCTGGCATAACTCCCTGGCTATGTGCGGAGTGCAGGCTTAGCGGTCATCCCCTACAGAAGGGAAACTGAGGCTGGAGAGGCACCAGCCTCTGGCCTGCAGGCTGTCCAGCCGTCACGATGGCTGAAGGCACTGCAGGGGCTGCGTAGAGTGTGGCCTGGCCCAGAAAGGGTCCTCACAGCTGCACTGCCACCACCGCCACCGAGGTCATAATTGCTCTGAAATCACAACCGAACCCAATTATGCAAAAACCAAATTATGCATGATGATTTTTATGTGTTGGAAACGTTTGGCCAAAGCTATGTGATTACAGGGGAACAGGAAGCAGCTGCCACTCTCTGGGAGCCCATAACTCCCAACAGCTGGGAGCTGTCACTTATTTACAACACCATTTCTGCCAGGAACGAGAGGGTGGCAGTGGTGGCGAGGCCCACCCACGCCTGGGCTGGGCAGGCGGCTGAGACGGTGACAGGCCCGGGAGCCCGCCTGGGTGGCCAGCGTGAGGTTGGGAGCCGGGTGGCTGGGAGTGGCCAGGAGGGCTGGCCGTCTCGCTCTCCGTGCTCTGGGCATAGCTGGCAGCGGGAAGAGTCAGCTGAGCTGCCCCAGGCGCCCGGCACTCCCGAGAGGCCCGTCTGGCCAGGCTGGAAGGGAAGGAACAGGAGGCCAACCCAGGCAGGGACGAGATGGCTGCCTGGCCCTGCAGGGCGGAGGTCTGCAGGCCCGGAGCCTGTCTCCCTGACGCCAGCGCGCCTGCCAGGCCGCCCGGGGCAGCTGCGACCCTGGAAAAAGGCAGGTAATGACTATCGTCCATAATGAGGCTGCTCCGATAATGAGCACGGGGCTATTATCTGACCACAGGCTGGACGCATCCGAAAATAAATTATTTTAAGGATCCATTAACGAATGCCTAATTAATGCCCAATTAGAGGGAAGCTACAGAGGAAATGCTCCGGACAGTCGTGAGGCAAGGCCTGGTTTGCAGCCACAGCCTGGGAGCTCCAGCGAGGCGGGGACAGGGGAGGGGCGGCCTCACTCTGGCAGCTTCATGGGTCCCAGAGCCCGTCAGCCCCGGTGCCTTCCTCAGTCCTTCGCACACGTGTGTCCTCTCAGTACATCCTCACAGCTCTGTAAGGGACAACTATTACTCTTTAAAAATGAGGAAATTGAGGCACAGAGGGGTGTTGCATGTTGCATAGAGGAGAACGCAGAAGGCACTGTAAATGAGACATCTTTCAAGATGAACTTTGGTGTCATGCATGTGTACTTTGCTTGTTATTGGGACAATTTTAAATAAAAAGGCTCCTCAGGACTCCACATGAGATATTTACTTTGTTAGAACAGGAGTCTGCACCACTGTCCTCGCAGATAATGGCAACTAAGTGGCAGAGCTGAGACAGGAACAGGAGGCTGGCTGCTGTGTCCATAGGTTGTGACCCCTATCCTGGTGGGGCTGACAGAGCCTGAGGGGGCAGGGTCCAGCCGCTGCAGGGTGCAGCTAGGGAAGTATGAGGGTTCAGAGCCTTCAGCCCAAACTTACCTCACAGTGCAGGCCGGGGCTAGAATTCCCAGTAGAGGTGGGCCCCAGGGTATCTAGCCCCAGATGGGGGCCTGACCCCTGCCTTCCTCCCATCAGGAGACAGGCCTTTGGGGGTCTACCATCCCAGACTGCTGAGCACAGCAAAGACAAGGACAGAGCCCCAGCTGGCCAAGGAGGGTCAGATGCCTGCCCCTGCCCTACACCCATCTGGCTCCTGCCTCCCCAGGCAGCCCCTGAACTGGCTGTGCTCTCTCTCCCACCAGGGTGCTGTGTGGAACTGCTGCTGCTGCTGCTGGCCGGGGAGCTGCCCCTGGGTGGCAGCTGCCCGCGGGACTGCGTGTGCTACCCAGCACCCATGACAGTCAGCTGCCAGGCTCACAACTTCGATGCCATCCCTGAGGGCATCCCAGAGGACAGCGAGCGCATCTTCCTGCAGAACAACCGCATCACCCTCCTCCAGAGGGGCCACTTCAGCCCCGCTATGGTCACCCTGTGGATCTACTCCAACAACATCACCTTCATTGACCCCAGAACCTTCGAGGGCTTCGTGCACCTGGAGGAGCTGGACCTCGGCGACAACCGGCAGCTGCGGACGCTGGCACCCGAGACCTTCCAGGGCCTGGTGAAGCTCCATGCCCTCTACCTCTATAAGTGTGGGCTCAGTGCCCTGCCAGCGGGCATCTTTGGTGGCCTGCACAGCCTGCAGTACCTCTACCTGCAGGACAACCACATTGAGTACCTCCAGGATGACATCTTTGTGGACCTGGTCAACCTCAGCCACCTGTTCCTCCATGGCAACAAGCTGTGGAGCCTGGGCCAGGACACCTTCCGGGGACTGGTGAACCTGGACCGGCTGCTGCTGCATGAGAACCAGCTGCAGTGGGTCCACCACAGGGCTTTCCATGACCTCCGCAGGCTGACCACCCTCTTCCTCTTCAACAACAGTCTCACTGAGCTGCAGGGTGACTGCCTGGCACCCCTGGGGGCCCTGGAGTTCCTCCGGCTCAACGGGAATGCCTGGGACTGTGGCTGCCGGGCACGCTCCCTGTGGGAATGGCTGCGGAGGTTCCGAGGCTCGAGCTCTGCCGTCCCCTGTGCATCCCCCGAGCTGCGGCATGGCCAGGACCTGAAGCTGCTGCGGGCCGAGGACTTCCGGAACTGCACGGGGCCAGCGTCCCCTCACCAGATCAAGTCGCACACGCTCACCACCACCGACAGGGCCGCCCGCAAGGAACACCACCCACCCCACGGCCCCGCCAGGGACAAGGGCCACCCACGTGGCCATCTGCCTGGCTCCCGGCAGGGCTACAAGAAGCCAGGCAAGAACTGCACCAGCCACAGGAATCGCAACCAGGTCTCGAAGGTGGGCGCCGGCAAGCAGGCCCACGAGCTGCAGGACTACGCCCCCGACTACCAGCACAAGTTCGGCTTTGACATCATGCCCACGGCACGGCCCAAGAGGAAGGGCAAGTGTGCCCGCAGGACCCCCATCCGTGCCCCCAGCGGGGTGCAGCAGGCCTCCTCGGGCAGTTCCCTGGGGGCCTCATTCCTGGCCTGGATACTGGGGCTGGCAATCACTCTCCGCTGAGGACCTGAAACGCCAGCACCCAGCACTGCCACACGTCCACCAAGGAACAGAATTTCTTTTCTTTTTTTTACAAGTGGAGGATCAGCTGGGTTTCAGGCAAAGGCTGGTAGAGGCTTTGGCTGCTGTCTGGGCCCCGCCTGGTGGATTATAAACCCAAAGTGTACAGCCCCAAGCTGGAGGGAATCAGTACATCTCACCCAGCATCCCAGCCAGCCCCTGCCAAGCACCCACGGACAGCATCCATCCAGCAAGGCAGTTAAAGTGCGCGAAGCGAATCCTTCCTTAGCAACCATGGGACAGTGCCCCACGCACAGAAGCCGGGCTCTGTGGAATCCTGGTCATCTGGAGAGGTCTGAGGGCCCCCACCACTCCCGGAGGAAGCAGGACCCAGAGGAGAACAGACGAGGCTCACTCATGAGGCTGGGTCAACCAGCCGTCTGGGAGCATATGAGCAGCTGGCATTTTGGCTCTTACTTGAGGCCACTTAGTCAACCCGCCCTGAATCTAACCATGTGCCACCTTCATTCAGCCCCTCCCTGGCGGGTACCGCCTCTCATTCCTGATGTCTCAGGCAACCCTGGCAGACCCAGGCCCAACTGCTGGGCTCCAAGAACCAACTACCAAAGGAAAGATCATCAGAGGCTGAAATTTAGAACTCCATCGTGTTCCACGAGGTTCTCAGAGGAGGTGCAATTTTATAACTACGTCCACTTATATATATACACACTCTCTACATATATATATACACACAAATGCACAGGTCCCCGCCCCACTCCCTTACCAAACTGTATGTCTTCTCATGTTTATAAACTATACGGAAAACTATATCTGATGAACTAAGGATTGTATTGGTGATTTTTAGCAAGAAAAGAGTTATAGGATTTTTGTCTAGAATCCCAACCTGGCAACAATCGTCCCCATGTAACCTGGGCTTGCCAGGGCTCAGTGCAAAGGGTCAGTGGGGAGAGTCAGGGAGAAGGGGAGGCAGCAAGAATCACTTCAGAGGACCAATATTCTTAGCTATTTAGAGCATCACCATGTTTTTATATGCAACACAAGCCCGTCTGCCGCCCCAGAGCGCCCCATCTCCCCCACTATGGTAGCTGTTGGCGTCGGAGTGAGAAGTGAGAAGCGGCTTGTTGGACTTCAGGGAGCCAGGCCCTGGAGACAGGCTGGATGGAGAAGGGGAAGGAAGGGGCTTTGGGTCTTTTAAGCTGATGGGCAAGGCAGCATCCACAGTGTTAGTCCAATGGGCTGGGCAGTGTCGTCAGCCTAGGGTTTGCCAGCAACGGTCTGGACAGGCCAGCGAGACTCTGGGCATGAGCCCAGGCCTCCAGCATGGCTCAGCTGCTGAATTTTTCCTTGAGGCTCTTTGATGGGCATCCCAGTGAGGGCCTTCTGTAGGGTGACAGGAGAGAAAGCATCAGGTAGCCTTAGCAGAAGGCGAACAAAGAGAGAATTTCAAGAACCATCTCAGGCACTTTTGCATTACGGAGGCCCGGTCTCTCCTGGCCCTTGTGAAGATGCCCAGGGACAGGCAGAGGTCAGAGGGTCAGACTCAGGGGCAGGAGCAGGGGTGTGCAGGGAACGGAGCAGGCAAGCCCAGACAGGAGACAGGGGCTCCAACTGATCAAGGTTGGCCATGCTGCTGGCTGGGGCCCCGGGCGAGCACAATATCCCTTGCGCTTTGCACAAACCTGAATTCCCCACCAGAGAGGATGTGTGTGAGGAGCAAGAAACACTGAATCCAATTAAGAAAGAAAAATAATAATTAAAAAAATTTCTCTTGGACAAGAACCCTGTTTCTCATTTCCTAACCCCGCATTCCTAAAGGGGTGGCAGATCCCGGGCTTTCGTGGGGTGGGCGAGCCTGGCCGGGCACAGCTCTGGGAACACAGCACATTTGTTGGCAGGAGGAGCCGTATGGGGCAGGGGCATGCTGACTCACAGGGACGCTCGTGCACACACACGCAGACACACACACACACACACACACACACACTCTTGTTCTCTGTTCGCTGGTTCTTCCCTCACCCGCACAGAATATGACTCACTTCCTACACTCTGGCCGCGCTGGGCCGGCACCCTCTCTGTGTCTTTCCCCAGAGCAGGCTGGTCCTGGATGCTTCTCAGCCTGTTCCTAAGAGCCTTCTGAGCTGTTGAATTTTGGGGGCCTCAGGGATGGCTGGAAAGGAACTGCTAGTTCCTGGGACCCCGAAGGGTTTCCAGGAGGCCAGGGACCGACCCAGACAGCGGTAGATGGCGTCTGGAGGCTGCACCTGCCTCTTTGTTCTCGGAGAAAGGAGAGAGTTCCCCAGATAGAGGGAGAAGGGCTGTGTTTTCAGGCCTGGACAGATCCTCCCCTGTATAAGGCTGGAAACACGCACTAAAGGGAGCCCGATGATGGCAGAACAAATTGTCTTTGTACTTCGGTTGCTCCCCAATTGTCCACCTATTCTTCCGCAGGCCAGTGCCAGGTCCTGGCTGTCCCTTAGAACCTGAGGATGTTGTTATGTTGTTGATTTCATTTCCAACTTTAGACAGCAAAGCCCTCGGTGGGAAAATCAAGAGTCCAAAGACTTTATTAATTTTTTTTTTAAATGACTTAGTAAGTCCTGTAATATGGAAGTGGAATGTCAGTACAAGAAATGCTAATGTTTTATAAATGATCCACTTCTGTCAAGTGCAGCACAGTCTCTAGTTGCCGACAGTTATTAGAGGCAAGACAGAGGGGCCCAGGACACCAAGTGTATTTTTAGCAGATTTCTCCTCTAAGAGGAGACGGAATAAAAGCAGCTCTACTGTGGATGACATCACTTGTCACTCAGAAGCTCGCATGCTACTCAGTTACAATGACACCATTGCCCAATACATCAGAGCAAGTTGACAAGTCGGGGGCTAAACAAAGGCCCCCTCTATTCACCAGACCCACCACCCTCCTGGGTGGTGCAGGGCAGGAAGCTGTGGGTTCCTGGCCCTGGGAATCCTGTCCTCCTCCAAGGGCCTGAGGCCACCCATCCTTTGTTCCTGATGGTGCCAGCTCCTCTGCCATTTTTGCTCAGCACTTTCCAGAGGCCCCAGGAGGGAGCCATCTCCTCTTCTCCTTCTCTCCCCTCTGGCCATACAGCCCTCTACTCTGGGGGCATGGCCTTCAGGAGGGGTTGGGTGGCCACTGGTGGTCTCAGAGTCTCTCCACACAAGCTTCTCCCAGGACCCTAGAGCATGGCTGGCTCCCTACCTTTCCTTCAACAAATGCTGACCAAGGGCCTACAGTGCCAGCCATTGGCCAGACTCTAGGGACATAAAGTGGGAAGATGTGGCTGTCCTATAATGAGCTCAGAGCCTAGATGTGGAAACAAGTATGGGATTGGTGAAACCAGTGTAAGATTGGTGCCTGGTAAGCACCATCCCCTACCCCCACACTGCAGTGAGAAACTCAGCTGGGGTGGGGGCAGTCAGGGAGGGCTTCCAGGAGGAGGTGACACTCCACTGGCTCTCAGAGGATGAGGAGGTAGCCAGAGAAAGAGTGTGGGGAGTATTGCAGGCAGAGGGCTGGAGGCATGCAATAGCACTGCGTTTGGGGTATCAGCAAAGAACTGTGAGTTGAAGACTGGGAATGCTTTTGGGGGAGGCGTGGGAGGTGAGCCTGGCAAGGGGAAGACCCCGAGGGGATCCTACTCAGGGACTTGGACTCAACTCTGGAAGTGGAGATGTGGTCCCCCGACTTGGGGTCCTCTTCCCTACCCCACTCCTCCAGCCTCTCTCTAAGCACGTGGTCCCCACCCGTGGCACGCTTGCCAATGTTCCTCAACAGTGGGTTTCATCATTGCAACTTGCCTCCTCTGCTCAGCCGGATCGTTTCCTCATGCCAGCAAGCTGGAGCGCTCTCTGGAAATCTGCCTGGGCCAGAGGCCCATTCCCAGACACCTGCTGCTTCCAAGCTCGGAAAGTATCCCATAACCATTTTGTCTCCCGCGCTCTCTCCTTTCCCATCCACGCAGCGCTCAGCCCTCAGCCCCTCTCCTTGCTTCCAAGCACAGGAGCACAGACCCCCCACATCCCCCTGCACATGTACCGCTCGGGCTGACCATCAGCAACCCCCAGAGCCCCCAGACTGTCCCCTGCTTCTCTCTCATGCTAGGGACTGTTTACTACCAGGGAGCCAAAAATCCCGTTTAGCAAATGTTTACTTCTCACCTAACTAATCACCCAGCACTCTGCCACCATACAAATGGGGCTCCAGAAGGCCTGTTGGCAGGTTTGAGGGGGCAGGGGTCCAGGAAGTCTTCTTGGAGGATGAGCTTCAGGGCTTAGGGTCAGAGAACAAGTTTCCTGGGAGGGCCCCTGGAGCTGGCTGCGAGCCTCAGGGCCTCAGGAGCTCCCAGAAAATCCTGCCTTGTATTCTCACCAACCCCCCCCAAGCTGTCCCCACCAGTCTCTGGCTGGACCCCATCTCTGGGACCCAGCTTCTCAGGGCCCTACTCATCATTGACCCAGAGGATGCCCACCTTTTCTCTGGGCACATTCTGTGACTGACTAGGGGCGAGGGCACATTTTGATGGGGTCCCGGCCAACATCTCCTGTTAAGCCTCCTGAGCCGGCTGTGGTCACACTCTGGCTCATTTCCTCCCAGTCGGGCTCTCTGGCCTCACGTTCCTCTAAGTAGGAGTGCAGCCCATCAGCCATTACTCCATCCCATGTCACCAATCCCCCACTATCAGCTCGTAATGGGCCAATTTTCTTTTACCTTCTGTCTACTTGGAAAATATCTCAAGAACCTTTGATTGTGCATTAAAATATCCTTTACAATTCTATGCTCGATATCTCTTTCTGCTCCTCTAATTGTCCCTTTTAACTCAATGCGCTCTCAGTATAAATCTCCCGGTCTCCCCCTTTGCAGGCTGTTAATAAATACAAGCTCTAAAAAAATATACATAAACATCTACTGTTGGCTAAATAACTCACCACACAATCAAAAAAACAGGAAAAAAGAGAGGCTTGGCACGATCATGCCCACCTGTGCTCTCTCACGCTGCCTCTTTTAAGAGGGCTGCTGGAATCAGGGTAGTTTATGGCCCTAGAAAGTCCACTGGGTGAAGGGACCCAGGATACCCCAGGGGAAAAAGAGAAGAGAAGAAAGTAGCTATGGGGCCGTGTTGACAGGGCTCCCTCCAGGAGCCACGAGGGAGGAGTGAGGATAAAGGAGACCCCTGTGCAGGAAGCAGTGGGTAATTCAAGTGGCATTTCAGCGGGCTGGTCCACATGGCTCCTTACCTCCAAAAGAAGTGGGTCAGCCTCCTCCGAGATGCGGCACCAGCCTGCACGGATGTGGCCTGCCCCCCATCTCTCTCCTTTCAGCTCTCATTTCTCATTAGAGCCGTTAGTTTCCAAGCACTGGGAGGGTAGAGAAGGCTGTGCCTTTTTGTCACCGATTTCTGTGTGGCAGCATGCACACTAATGGCATGTCGCCTGAATGGCAGGATTTGACATTGCTGCTGCAAAATGTTCTTGGGTCACAGTGCTTTCCAAATTGGCTGAGGCTCCACACCCCCCCCCGCTCCTCCTTCACCCAGGCATCTCGGGGGGCCCCTGCCAGCCACAGCTTCTGCTGCTCCCTCTCAGGGCCTCAGAAAAGAGAGAGGAAGCGAGAAATGTATTAAACTCTTCAATCTCTGTAAGTACCATTTCCCAGGAGACAGACTGGAAGGAAGAAGGAAGCGCAAGTGCTGAGGATCTAAACAGGTGGGAGCCCTCGGAGGCAACCAGCTCCACATCACCCGCACCACCAGCTTCAGGGGCAATCACAGGCAGGACAGTGATGCCCTCTGAATGGCAGTTGACTGGACATTGAGATGTGGCAGTGTCCAGGGGGCCACTCACCACTCCAGCCAGAGGATAAAAATAAAATTTTCTGGGGCTAGTCCCATGGCCGAGTGGTTAAGTTCGCATGCTCCACTTCGGCAGCCCAGGGTTTCTCTGGTTCAGCTTCTGGGCGTGGACATGGCACCGCTCATCAGGCCATGCTGAGGCGGCGTCCCACATGCCACAACTAGAAGGACCTACAACAGAGACTACAACTATGTACTGGGGGGTGTTTGGGGAGGAGAAGAAGAAGAAAAAGATTGGCAACAGGTGTTAGCTCAGGTGCCAGTCTTTAAAAAAAAAAAAGAAAGAAAGAAAGAAAATTTTCTCAGTGATGAGGAGTGAGCAGAACAAACCCACAGAGGGAACCTCAGCGGGGGATGAGGTCGGGTGTGGACTGGATGGGTAAGTGCAGGTGGAGTCTATGCGAGACCCCACAGGGCATACATATACAGCGTCACTCAGAGAGAGAAAGCACAACCCTACGGGGCAGTCATGTAGCCAAACAGTCAGAGCCAGGGAAAGACGCAGATAGACAGACAGACAGGAGAGCACAACAGGGAGAGAACCATTTTACACACATGTGCACACACACATCACTCAGGCACCACGTCCTGGCACTGTCCCTCATGCAACCAAGTGTGGGACATTCACACAGTCCACAGATTTGACGGCCCAATGTGTATGTGGCCCTGGCCAGGCCCTGGGTCCCTGGTGAATGAGGGATCATCCGTGTGGAGCCTCCTTCGGCCAAGAGCAGCCCCCTTATTTGATTACAAGGGGGGTGTCAGGAGAGGGGCAGAGGCCTCTGTGAAGGGTGGGACGAGGCCTGCCCTTCCCACACGCTGGTGACCTCCGTCAGGGACACTGGCAGATGTGTAATGAGAGGCAGATTCTGGTCCCAATCTTGGGCCGAGGCATTGCCCACCGAGCCT